CCTTCTCTGTGAGCTCCTTCCAGTTAGGGGTTATGAGTCCTACTTCTCTGCCCCCCATGCCTAGGGCTCTGCCTGGCACTTTGTAGATGCTCAGTAAAGACTTGGCATCTGAAAAGGGGAAGAATGATCAAGAATAATAATAGCAGTTATAAGAGTAGCTCTCTGTTCCTGGTGCCTTTCATACCTTTTCTCCAAGTCCCAGAGCAACTCTGCAGGGGGTTCTCCTCATTCTAAAGATGCAAAATGAGGCTCAGAGAGGTTCAGTGATTTATTCAGAGCTACACAGCCAAGAAGTGGCAGAGCCAGGCTTCAAACCTGAGTCTGTCCAGCTGCAAAGTTAACACTCTTGCATTTAATTAAGTTGAATCGAACTGAATTGAAGTGGATTCCCCATTGTGTGACCCTGTCAGAGGGGGCCTTCTGCATGGATTGATGATCAGGAGTGTTCTAATGTTCTGAAAATGAACACCAGACCTAATCCAGCTGCCAAATGACCTTTTCAAAGCAGAATCTGGATACTTCCTGCCCTCACTAAACACTCATTGATGACTCCTCACCAGCTGTAAGGTGAAACCCAAACCTCTTACCCAGCATCCGTCATCTGACCTCTGCTTACCTCTCCAGCCCCTCTCTGCCTCCTAACCCACCCCCAATTCAGATGCACTGGGATGGCCATGGAGATAAAGGTGCTCGCTGCTGAGCAAAAGGACCTCCCTACCCTCTCCCAGTAGGAAAGGAAGTCCCTTGGTGCCCAAATCAAAGTCATCACCTCTTGGAGAAAGTCTTGAAAGATGCCAGATGGTTGACGCCCGCAGAGACTGGCTAGAATGTCAGCTGCCTGCACAGTCCTGTGCAGGGGGAGCCCCTTCATCCCCTCCCACTCTCCAGCATCCTCACAGCCAGCCACTCACCTTGTATGAATCCAGACATTTCCTAGAACACCTGATGCCTCTTCAGCCAAGACCAGGAAGAGCTGGAGACCCGTGAGCACGCATAGTGAAGGAGTGAAGGGTGTTTTGACACACCTGTGTCTTTCCTTTTTATGCTTCAGTGTCACTTCTGCGTACAAAAGTAGAACAATTCTGAATGTCTTGGATTACAAGAACCCCCAAAGCCTGTGCTTTCCAAAAACGTCTCAGATTCGGCTTTTTTCCACCTCCAGGCATCTAATAGGAGAGTTCCAAATGGCCAATATCCTCCTGATAAGAAAACAAATTTAGTGGGAGTTACAATAAAATCATCACGTTTCTAAATCCTTAACCCATGGAGAAGGAGTTTAATTCCTAGAGGCATTCACTGTTCGCTTTTCCAGGAGTACTTACGAGGTAATTGAGCCTGATTTATCAAAACAAAAGGTAGCTGCTTCCTTTCTCTTCACTTAAGAAAATAAGTGAACCACACTTCATAAACTAGTCTCCAGGTCCTTTATACACTGGAAAGATTTTGTTTCCAAGCAGGACAGCTTGGAGAAGTCTGGGAAGCTTGTGAACCAGGGAGCGGGACATTCCTATTGTGAGACTTCAACAGGAAGTTTGCCGTTTTGGACTCTTAACCTTAAATGCTCATGACAAGCCCATGAGGAGGTATCTCTAACTCAGATCTACAGATGAGGCAGTGGAGGCTCAGAGATGACTCACTCAGCCTTGCAGAGGTCACATGACCCACATTTAGAGGAGACGAGATTCAAGTGCAGTCCTGTCCAGTCTCCAGGGCTAAAGCAACCCCTGTGCCCCCACCAGCTGCCCTCAAGGTCAAGCAGTGATGAAACTGACAACACTCCTTGATCCTTTGCCAACATCAGAAATTATGACTTTTATACATTTATGTATTTATATATATATATATATCAGTATAAATTGAACATTCAAAAATGAATCTGTAAAAATTACACTTGTTCTCCATCCTGGCAAATCCTCCGAATCATGGCAGAGCTATGGTAAAAGAGCTGCATGGCCCTGGGCAAGTCACACCAACTGTCAACCGTGGCTTTGTCATCTGCACAATTAAGATAATAATCACTGGGTTGCTGGGAGGATCAAACAAAAGAGTAGATGTATAAGTGCTTAGCACCTTGTAGGGGCTTCATAGTTGTATATCCTTTGTTTCCTGCAATAAGTGCTATTGAATAAATGATAAGTTAACTGTAATGTATCTATCGAACATAACCCTTGTTTGGTGCTAAAATGAGTCTGCATTTAATCCCCTCCCCCAAATCCTGGGTGGTAGACAACAATTATTGTTTACATAAGAGGAAACTGAGGCTCAGAGAGGGTAAATGATTTGCCCAAAGTTATGCAGGAAGTAGTAGGAGTGGGATTTGAATTCAGGCACACTGAATTTAGAGGTCAAAATTTACCCATCTTGCTATCCTTCCTCCAGGAAATGAGGATGAATAGACATTTCATGTGACAAAAGCTGAAAGTGATGACTTGCCTTTGGCTCTCTTGATCCCCATCTCAGACTCCTTCTGGGAAAATGAAAGCTGTTTGTGTGAACTCCCTACTCTGTCAAGGACACTATACTCAGAAAGCTTCATCGATTTCTTTTACTACATGGTTACAATTTTGCCTGCTCCTTGTGAACCCTCAAAAGCAAGCCTTGTGAGGTCACCAAAGCAACTGCAGATGTGATGTTCCCTAGGCTCTTTTCTACCTGATTTCTTCCTGAAGAGGCCCTTTGCCCCCCAGCCAGAGGGTGGTGAGAGGAACGAAAACTCTACCAGGCCTGTGCCTCCACTGACCTTCCCTTCATTATTTATTTGCTTCTTTATTTGCACTCCTTCCAAAAAGGATTTCAGGTGGAATGTTATCAAAGATAACCAGCAAAATATCTAAGTACCCACAGCCCCACAGAATAAAGGGAATCAATCCCACTGATGTCTTGGGCTTCTCCAGTGAAGAGGCTTCCAGAAGGAGATGATATCTGAGGACCTTACACGAGCAGAAATAGCAGAACGTCAAGGACTGGTGCCACGGGGCTCACCCCATGGCCCCGTACACAAAACCACTTTCTCCGTGTTCCTCTCTGCATCTTTAAGAGAGGGAAGGTCCAGGGAAAGAGGGATGAGGCAGGGAAGGGGAAGAGCCGTCCTCCTGGATGCCATTTCTTATTATCGGGAAGTAGATTCCTCCATCCTCAATTCTGGACTGCCTGCCTTGCTGAGAACAAAAAGAACCCACATGTTACAGGCTGCTGTGGGGATGGGTGGTGCTGTAGGACCGAGGGTAGGATTAGGCAGGGGCAGTACCAGAGAAGTGTAGATAGGCCACAAGTGCTGTCTGGGGCTCAGGGAAGCCTGCCATGGCAGCAGTCAGGTCAGGGGTCTGAGGCTTCCCAGATCCACCTGGCAAATATTCTGCGTTCTGACCTCAGCACAGAGGGATCAAAAATAAGCATCACAATCCCTGCCTTTGAGGAGCTCCCAGTTGCTAGGGGAGGCAAGCATACAAATTAATCCCACAGGATTCATTCACACTTTCTACCAGTATCGAGTGAGCATCTAACTCTGTGCCAGGCACTGGGCACAGGGTGTGATGGGGATTCAGAGTAACCATGAAGCTTAGAGTCTAGTGCTGTGTCTAATGCTGAGGATGCCATGGAGCACAGACAAGTGTATCTACCCAGACGAGAAATTCGGAAAGGTTGCATGCAGTTAACAAGACAGAAGGGGATAGGAATCGAGCTCTGTGTAGAGGAAACAGCATGATCAAGTGCAGAGATGCATGAAACAGTGGACCTAAGACACAAGGCTGGCTGTGTGTGGACTGCTTCTTACAGCTCTGTGACCTTCAGATGCACCTGACAAAAAGCCCTCCTGTTCTCCAGCGGTTCATCTTAATTGAACTTGGGGCCTCTGGAGCATGATCTAGAGCAGCTCCATGATCTTATCCTCCAGAAGGTGATGGGCTAGTCCAGACACAGTTCCTCGGGGCTGTGAGGAAAAGCATGCAATTAGGTCCATTCTCTTTCACATGAAGTCCCTCCCATCCAAATATCGTCCAGTGGTAAGTTCCTGGTGACTAACCTCACTGGGTGCAGTCTCTGCTCATGGCCTGCCCTGAGAAAACCCCAAAGGGGTGGCTGGCTGACATGCGGGTTCAGACCTAAACCCAGATTCCATGCTGCTCTGGTTGTTCCAGTCAATCCATGTGTACACGCCCTATTGGTGTTTATTTTCATTGACTGCTCTATTTTGTATGGTGCCATTTTGATTGTGGTTTTGTTCCTCTCCAACACTTTATCATCTCCAAATTATTTTTCCACTAAAAAAAAGTAGTGATAAACCCATAGGCCCTACTTAAATGGGTCACAGTCCTGAATGCTTGAGAAAGAATCCTGCGCCCCACCTCATGACCCCAAGTAACCCTGAACTACCATGCTCTCTTGTTTTGCGACAGGATGTATGCCTTCCTAAAAATCACCCCACTGGGCAAAATGGGGGTAATGGGGCAAGCAGCATAACACTCAAGAATGTCATCAGTGATACATAAGAAAGAGAGAAAGAAAAAAAAAATTAGCACGGTTTTACACAGGTTAAATGGTTAAGAAATAGAGAAGTCCTACAGTGAATCTGGCACCTCACCTTGAAGAGAGCGGGTGTTTGCCTGTAGCAGAGGACAGGGGAGGGCTGCAGCTGGGGCAGTACTGTGATAGGGGGCTGGCGGTGGTGCTTTCTGAATGGAAGGCATGCTGTCACTGCGGGGGCAGGTGGATGTGGCTCATAACGTACAGTGGACTGCATGGCAGCTAGATTTTGAGGTGTGTACACGTGCGTGTTTTGTATCTTCCTACCTGATTCGGCTCAGTTGGATGCTGTTTTCTGCCTTCCCCTAGTGTTTCTCGGGAAGGAAATCTTGCATAAGCAAATGTGAAATTCCCCTTATCCTCAAACCGTTCCCCAATATATCAATTATGTTGGAACAGATGCACATTTTCAGAACAAGTGTATGGCGGAACTGGCCAATCCCTGATTGACTTTCATCTTTTCCTTGTTGATTCAGACTGGACCAAGAGGATTGAGTATCAGCCTGGCTCAGGGAGCGTGCCACTTTTCCCCAGCATCCACCTGGAGACGTGCGACGGGGCCGTGTCCTCCATCCAGATCACCACGGAGCTGCAGACCAATTACATCGGGAAGGGCTGCGACCGGGAGACCTACTCTGAGAGATCCCTTCAGAAATTATGCGGTAGGTTTCTCCCTGTTGGGATTGTTTTTTGTTTTGTTTTGTTTTTTTTTAAAGATTTTATTATTTATTTATTTATTTATTTGAAAGAGAGAGAATGAGAGATAGAGAGCATGAGAGGGAAGAGGGTCAGAGGGAGAAGCAGACCCCCTGCCGAGCAGGAAGCCCGATGTGGGACTCGATCCCGGGACTCCAGGATCATGACCTGAGCCGAAGGCAGTCGCTGAACCAACTGAGCCACCCAGGCGCCCCGGGATTGTTTTTAATTAATTGCTTTTAAATGATCCATACAAAGCGTATCTTATGTTAGGAAAGAATGAGTCCCTCCCAACCGCATCAGTGTCTGTAACTCCTGGATGAATATTGAGTTTACTTATTACGGTTAAAGAGCTTTTTTTTTGCTGCTCAGAGCAAGATGGCAGAGGAGTAGGAGACCTGGATTTCGTCTGGTCTTATTACGGTTAAAGAGTCAGAGCTAGGAAACAAGGCCCAGAGAGGTGCTACACAAGGAAAGAGCTTCACAAAGCACTGACTGGGTGTACCTGCCATACTCTTCACATGCATCAGTTTGTTTAACTCTCTCATCTTCATTGTCAGGAGGCTCTTATTCATCCCATTTTAAAGATGGAAAATTTGAGGCCCAGAGAGAAAAAAAAAAATGGCTGGTTCAAGACCCTAGTTAGAAGGTGGCGGAGTTGAAGGCATTTCTACCTGAATGCAGGCAGTTGAGCTCAGCAGCTGTGAAGGCAGGCCAGACCGTGGCAGCTAGAATGTCGGTCTCTCGAGTCAGCCTGCAGAGTGCTCCACATACTGGGAATGGTCCCCTGTGCATGGCAAGCCAGACCGTTGAGGTGTCAATGGGCCTTGGGGTAAGGTGGACCACATACATTTCATTGCTTTCTCATTCTCTCCAAGAGTATTCAGGAACTCACATCTGGGTCCCCAGCTATGCTGTGGGGAGCTTCGAAAAGAGCTTACTCTTTGACTAGTCCTGTATTGGGGGGTAACTCCATCTCCACAAAAGGAAAAGGAGCCTCTTGAACACAGTGCATTTCCTGAGCACCATCCGCTCCTGGTGGGCCCTCCACGACTATGGCTGGGGCAGTTTTCCTCCCTCACCATTGCTGTGCATGCGTGTGTGCACACACGCGCGCGCACGCACGCGCGCACACACACACACACACACACACACACACACTGCTCTTGCCCAAGGAATCAGGTGAAAATTTTAGAAGTAAATGTGAAGTGGACCCTACTTGGGCCGTGTCCCATTTGTCATGTCACCAGGCTGTCAGGAAGGCCTGTGGGGACACAGGCTTCTCCAAAGCGATGCAGTAGGTTGGGGAGAACACTACAACTTCAGGACTCCAGACAGTCCCCGCAAAAATGGATGTCAGGGGCCTCTGGCGCTCTCCTTCATTCATGTGGAAGAAGCCACCTCCGACGACATCTTACTGTGAATGAACATGCCATTTCGCTCCCCGTGCACCTGGATTATAAGTCAACTCGACCCCGCACCACCGTGGGTTACAGTCATTTCCTAAACTCCTCCGGGTGAGAAGAAGATGATGGAATCAGGTTGTTAAAGATCAGATGGGCCCAAGGGCACACACTTGTGATTTGCTTTTGAATGTTGCTGGGGAGAGATGAGGAGATAGGGAGAGGGAGAAGGATTTTTTCTGAGGGAAGAAACTTTAGAGCAAAATTGCATCTGGTTGTTAACACCGCTCATTCCTTCCGGGCTGCCGGCATCACCTTGCAGGAAGGCAGGTAATTCAGTGAGGAAAGCAGCTTTCCCCCAAGAGGTGAGCTTACCTGGTTCCAGGAGACACCCTTTATGGGGCGGGGGGGGGGCGGTCTCTGTGTCTTTCTGGTGACATTCCTGGTAGGAGTGCCCACCGCACTGTGGGGACTCTGTACGAGTAACCTGACGGGCAGGGCCACTCCTGCCTCTGTGTCAGGAGTCTGAATCTTGAATTCCATGGAGGGAGAGAGCTCAGGAAAAAAGGGCGGAAGCAAATGAATGGAACCCAGACGTGCGTCCGGTGCTGGAGTGGGCTCCAGAAGGAGGCAGCCCATCAGGCCCCGTGCTCCCCCCCTTCGAGGGAGATGCAGGCTGGATGGCTTCCAAAACAGAGTCTGGGTTATAATTCCTCCTCCTGTGGGGCAGCTTAGGTTCAGGACAAGCTTCCATGTGTTTTCAGTGGATGGTAGACAAATTGCTCGCAGGCTTTCCCAACTAGGGAATGGCCATGACACTTTCAGCATCGACAGCCAGGCATTTTTCATCTTCCAAATCTTCATTGACTTTGGATGGAAACAGGGAGACCAATTAGGTTGTTATTGCCATGGTCTAAGCAAGAGATAATGAGTTCTGAACCAGGGGAGTGGCAGTAGGAATGCATTTAAGATGGCTTTAGGAGGCAAAATCAGCAAGCTAATCAATGATGGATTAGCTGTCAGGAGTGAGAAGGAAGGAATCTAAGATGACTCAAGTGTAAGCATCTAACTGGACAAGGATGCCACCGACCAGAAGTAGGAATCCAGGCACGGGCACACTTAGGGGCTACAAGGACTGGTGCCCGGGGACATCCGGGTGTGGGGATCCAACGCCTGCCTGACTCTGGACGCGTTCTGAGGACCTGCCTCCACCCTGCCGATCCCTTGTTGTAGCCAGTTTCTTCCCGATGCTCCACCTCTTCCGGGCCGGGACACCTCCTTTGTCCCTGTGCCCGGCTGGCTCTCATCCCTAAATCTTTGCTCATGGTTTCTTCCCACCAGAATCTCTCCCTGCTTTGCTATTCCAAACCTTTCCCTTCAGCAGTATTCTCCTGGCCTTTGTACACCAGGGAGGCTATCCTGGGGGTGCTTCCTGCATGCCTTTGAGTTCCGGTATCTCTTCTGTGATACCATAGCTACACAGTGACCCAGGCAGGGGTGTCTCTGTGGAGGGGCATTTTGCGTGTCTGGTCACTGCCCACCTGCTTCCTCTTCTTGCAACGCCAGTTCCATTAGGAGCAGACAAGAGCTGGTTCCAAGCCCGTGGTCAGGAAGGACGTGACAGGTGCAGCAGCTTTTGAAATAGCCTCTCTGGGCCCACACTGAGATGCCTGCATTCTGCCTTGAAACAAAAACAATGCAGGACCCTGAACCCAGGTCCCCTTGAGCTTGTAGAACACAGCCTCAGATGACCTGCCACTAGCCTCACTCTACCTAAAGCCTGGTTTCTTGGAGAAGTTGGGCAAACTGCCTATCCCTTCCTCTGAATTCAGAGATTCAAGATGAAGGGCTCTGTCCTCTCAGGCCCAGCCTTTCCAGAAGTGAAGTGTCACAGAATTGCCTTGAGTGTGAAATGCCCCATGAGGCCCTGAGGAAGACCTCTTGGCCAAATTAAATTTGACATTACTGACAGCCCCAGGAAGGGCCCCCTTCGATGCCCCTAAGTCACCACATATTACAGTAAATAGAAAAGCAGTCCGTGACGCACATGCCTTTCCTATGGTGGAGGCCAGGGGCTGTTCCTCCTTGGGATCACAGGGCTCCTGGCAGCTGGCTCGCTGCTCCACACACGCCGCCCAGGGCAGCTCTTTTGTGTGTGGGGTCAGAAACTACGAGGGCACGTCCTGTTGAAGGAAAGGCCACAGAACGAGAGCATGCTATTAAACCAAGCGGCTGATCCGTCAGAGCATTCCAGATCACCAGACATTAAGTTGTGCTCAGGATATATGCACTTGTGAGCCCTGGAGATTTTCATAGATGATTTGTTCATTCATTCATTCATTCAGTCATTCATGTATTTATTAATTCAACAAATATTTGTTGAGGGTCCAAATGCTGCAATTCTTGAGGTTAGTAAGACCGCTTGACAATGCAGTCTTCTGGGGAAGACGTTTAAAAAAAAAGTTAAGATCGTGGTTTTCTACTACATCATGAAGCTTGACAGAGCTCATCCTCATTCCGAATCACAAGCAGAGGTGTTTGTACCCCTAGAATCACTCAAGTCCTGGAAGTTATCAGCAGCTTCTCCAAGATGCCTCTGCAAGGCTGGAGCTTCCAGGCTTGAGTGTGGGTCCCCTAGACTCTTGGAGACCAGAAGGGGGCCTATTGCTTTAAGGAAAATTGGCGCAAACCTATCAGGACTCAGATTAAATCCTTAATCATAAGGCTTAAGCACAGGGCTTTTTATCTTGATGAAGTCCCAATAGTTCATTTTTGCCCTTGCTTCCCTTGCCTTTGGCGATGTTTCTAGGAAGAAGTTGCTGCGGCTGAGGTCGAAGAGGTTGCTGCCTGTGTTCTACTCTAGGATTTTGATGGATTCCTGTCTCACATTTAGGTCTTCCATCCATTTTGAGTCTATTTTTGTGTGTGGTGTAAGGAAATGATCCAGTTTCATTCTTCTGCATGTGGCTGTCCAATTTTCCCAATACCATTTGTTGAAGAGACTTTTTTCCATTGGACATTCTTTCCTGCTTTGTCGAAGATGAGTTGACCATAGAGTTGAGGGTCCATTTCTGGGCTCTCTATTCTGTTCCATGATCTATGTGTCTGTTTCGGTGCCAGTACCATACTGTCTTGATGATGACAGCTTTGTAATAGAGCTTGAGGTCCAGAATTGTGATGCCACCGGCTTTGCTTTTCTTTTTCAACACACCTCTGGCTATTCGGGGTCTCTTCTGCTTCCATACAAATTTTAGGATTATTTGTTCCATTTCTTTGAAAAAAGTGGATGGTATTTGATAGGGATTGCATTGAATGTGTAGATTGCTCTAGGTAGCATAGACATTTTCACAATATTTGTTCTTCCAATCCATGAGCATGGAACGTTTTTCCATTTCTTTGTGTCTTCCTCAATTTCCTTCATGAGTGTGTTATAGTTTTCTGAGTACAGATTCTTTGCCTCTTTGGTTAGATTTATTCCTAGGTATCTTATGGTTTTGGGTGCAATTGTAAATGGGAATGACTCCTTAATTTCTCTTTCTTCTGTGTTGTTGTTGGTGTATAGGAATGCCATTGATTTCTGTGGATTGATTTTATATCCTGCCACTTTACTGAATTCCTGTATGAGTTCTAGCAGTTTTGGGGTGGAGTCTTTTGGGTTTTCCACATAAAGTATCATATCATCTGCAAAGAGTGAGAGTTTGACTTCTTCTTTGCCAATTCGGATGCCTAACAAACAGCCTTTATGTAGAGCACTGTGTATCTCATGTACATGGAAAAGACACGTGGAGAACCACAAACTGGCTCTTAAAGCTTCTGCCCTGGGGGGCGCCTGGGTGGCTCAGTTGGTTAAAGCTTCTGCCCTGAAATGACATGTCATTTGCACTTACATTTTATTGATCAGAGCAAGTCACATGGCTAAGTGACGTCAGTGGGTCAGAGAAACATGTGGAGAACAGAATGCTTTCCACCAACATGCAGTCCTAGTGCAGCGTTTGTCAAGAGGGCCTCCCCTGACACTCTTTGTCACTGCCATAGGCCACCCACCAAAGGTTAAAGATTTTCTACTGGGTCCCTAAAGGTAGGGCCAGCTTCTGTTTGGTTCACTGCTGCCTTCTCCCCACAGTGCCTGACATAACCTAGACGTTACATAAATATTTATGGAGATAACAAGGAGTTGACATTGCAATTGTGAGAGTACTCCACAGAATGAGGCCTGTGTCTTTGGTTACAACGGTTCCTCTCCCCTGAGACCCTCCCACTCATTCTTGCCCTGTGGTAGACCATGAGGAGGCATGACCTGAGGCTCCGTGTCAATCACTATTGCCACAGGCTCACCTCGAAGTGCTAAGGACACTCTGCCCTGACGGAAGTCATCCAGAGCTGAATGCAAACCCTGCAGTTAAGTTCAGTGCCCTCAGGCTCCATTGATGCATTCACACTACAATGTATCCTGAAATCTGCCTCATTCACTCCATCTTTATCTACTTGCTGACTCAGAGAGGCCTCCCCAAGCTAGGGCTCGGGGACCTTGAATCACACCTCAACTCTGGTTTCAAGCTCCCCCCACTCAAGCTACAGCTGCTATGCACCAGCCCAGTGTGGACTCTAAGCAGCCTGATGGGTCCCAGAGACCTTCGCAGAGATTCCCAAGGAGCTTCTTAAATCCACCCTGTGTGCAGATGATGCTGTGCCATCTTTGCACGTGATGGGTCCTGTTTACCCACAGCTTTCCATGAGATCCCTTGAGGAGAGGAGAGAGAGGAACTTTGGGAGAAAGTAAATCTCTCTCAGTTTGTTTAAGTGCACGGAGAAATGAAATACAAGCTGCTAAGCTGGGGAAGTCTGCACCATCTGGTTCCTTACAGCTTGATGCTCCCTGGTAGGCAACATCTGTGGGTTAGGCGGGGTGGCCTGCCACTCCTTTCACCACGGAATCAAGGAAGTCTGCATCAGTGGCTTTACCAGGGCACATGCTGTCTTCAACGTGCCTCTCTGCAGACAGCCACCTGTGTGGGGAGGTGGGATCCCAGGGGACTGTGCTGTGTGCTTGGCAAGACACCATACTGTGTGGTAGAATGAACATTAGCTGGGAATCTGAGAGCTGGGCCTGCCTCTAGCTAGCTCAGGGGCTGTGTGACCTTGGTCAAGTCGTTTCCCTTCTCTGGGCTTTGTTTTCCAATTGTAAAAAGGGGAGGAGGTTACAAGATTTCCCTCCAGCTTCACTGAGGTGGTGCCGTGGGAGGCATTAGGCTTTGGAGCCGGAAAGCCCTGCAGATGGGCCCGCTCACTAGCTGGTTGTGATCCTGGGCTCACTGAGCCTAGGTTCTTACTTGTAGACTGGAATCACAATAGTATTTACCACATAGAGGAGTAACGGAGAAAAAGCACTGTAGTACTTAATTCAGGTCTGGTGCTCAGTGCCCCAAAACCTGTTGATAGGAAAATAATAGCAATGGTATTGGTGGCAAAGCTGGCGCGCACCTTTGCTCCGGCTCTGCTAGACCGCATTGGCTTCCCTGGCCTGAGCCGGAAGTCAGGAGCCCTGAGTACTCAGCCTGCACTCGTCTGGCCCCCTGAAACTTCAGGAACTGACACTCTGAGTGTGCCAGTTACCCGGCTGTCTACGAACTGGACCAATCCTGGCATCAGAGCCAACTTACCTATGGGTCAAAGAAGCAGTTGCCATGTTGCATTATTCTGGGGGTTCTAAGACAATGAATTTGCTCCAAAAGACCACATATCTTCCACTCCTAAACCAGCCCCAAATCTCCACCTGCTACCGCCTAGATACATTTATGTCTTTCAGACACCTTTGGAGGATGATTGCCCTTAAGGCTTTGTTAGTCATTAAAATATTCGTGTGAATCAACTTATGAGATAAATGAAATGGATACCAGACAAGGCTGCAGGGCCATGGGGTGAGAACAAGTAAATACTGAGGAGAGGGGTGGGGCCCGGACGTGAGGCTGCCTGGGCAGGCACACCTGAGCATTGGGTAGATGGCTAGAAGTACCTCATGGAGGCGCCGGGTGGGAGAAAGGGCAGTTATAAATGTTAATGGAGTGCCTGCTGTGTGTCAGGCCTGGCACCAACTCCCAAACCCTAGGAAATACACATGTAAATGATGCAGCCAGCACCATCCCCACATCCCCCTTGATAAGCATCAGCTGCAGGGCGATCATGAATTGGCAGATCGGAATCTCCCGCCCTCTCAGATGCCACAGTTCCTGGAGGCCTCTCCCAGGGCGAGCCTCTCACAGCTAAACACAGCAACGGGCTCTAGGGGTACCTGTTTCTCACATAGCATAAATTTCTATTGCAAACCGATGGGTGCTGAACCCTAGACTTGATGATCTGCTCCAACACTAGAGGGAAAACTGGCTGGTTAAGCGTTTTCAGAGAGGTATATTCATTTCCAATATGGCACCTTCCCGAAGGATTCTCAAGGGTCATTTTAACTGTGGATGTTTGTGGTAGCTGACTTTGGAACCCAAACCTTAGGTGAGATGAGACTCTGATATACAGAATTGAGAAGTCCAGTGATCTTTGACAAAAATCAGGTAACGCACACAACTACTGTCCATTAAACCCATCAGCGTCTGTGACTGCCTGGCCAGTACGGTCCCGGGAAAGCACTGACTCCCCGCACCAGGAACACCTTAGACTCCCTGACTCTTATTCCCTGACAATATCAGCAAGCCCCGGCCCTCATCCTTCCCTAAAGAGCCAAGTCCTTCTCCTCTGCTGGCAGCAGAGATCTTCAGCAGGAAGTCAGTGGGTCCCCCCAGCTGAGGCATCCAGTCTTCTCTGCAAGGCTGGCCTCTCCTGCCCACCTGAGCTCTGCCTTCCACAAAGCTGCTGGTGTGACCTTCCTAAGATACAAATCTACCTGTGACACTCCCCCTGCTTCAGGTTTAGTGCTCGTGTCTTAGCCTGGAATCATAGTGGTAGCAAAAATAATAATCATCATAAGGATAAAGTCACAGGTAACATGGAGTGAGTATTCACCACATGGCTGGCATGCTGCTCAGGCTCTTATGCAGGCTCTCATTCAGTCCTCACAACCCACTGGGAAGGGAGATACCATGGCAGGAGCTGGAGAGGCAGAAAGGCTAAGGGACATGCTCACAGTCACAAGGCTAGCAAGTTGTGTTGCAAGGCATCAAATTCAAGTTTGAGGACTTCTGAACCCATGTTTTCTCGACCTCTGTACCATTTGGCCTAAACATAATGCTTGTAAAAAAAATAAAAAAGTGTGGTGAGTACAAAGTGGCTCACACTCCTTCCCATGGCATCAGGACCTAGAACTTTCCCCAGTCACAGCCCTGATCACACTGCGTCATTGCTGTCTGTGCACTTGTTGGCTCTGAGCTACCCCAGGTCAGGGACTGTGCTGATTCACGTTTACATCACCAGTGCCTAGCAGGGGTCTTGGCACATGAGCCACATAAATGGCTCATAGGTTAATGGATGGATGAATGCATGAATGAATTCATTGATCCACATCAAACTCCGGCCTTCTCCAGGAACCTTCCCTGCTTAAAAAAGACCCCCCCCCATTCTCGTTTCCCGAAATTCCTCCAGCACCTTTTCCTTGTATAGTAGTTCATTGCACCTTATTTTGTCACATGCAACATTTTTGTCTGTAAGTTACTGATGCCTTCACCTCTGCAGACCATAAGGAACTCAGGGGGAGGGATGGCATTTGGCTCTTCTTTTTCTGAGTCACCTCACTGAAGGTTGGCTCAGATCTCTAAGCAACTACACTGAGTAGTTCATCCTGACCCAGGAGCAGAAAACAGAAGGTGAGGACACCCACTCCGTGAGGAATAACCCTTCGTTCTTTCTGGCCCCCATGCCCCGCAGGAACCTCCTCTGGTATCATCGACCTCTTGCCGTCCCCCAGCGCTGCCACCAACTGGACAGCAGGGCTCCTGGTGGATAGCAGTGAAATGATCTTCAAGTTTGATGGCAGACAAGGGGCCAAGATCCCTGATGGGATTGTGCCCAAGAACCTGACAGACCAGTTCACCATCACCATGTGGATGAAACACGGCCCCAGCCCTGGTGTGAGAGCCGAGAAGGAAACCATCCTCTGCAACTCAGATAAGACTGGTGAGTCTGCCCGTTATATCCCGGCTGGTTAGGCAGAGACACAGCCACCGACGATGTGGGAGGAAAGCCAGAGCATGATGGCGTCCTGGGACACTATTCTCGTCTCCGGTTTCCTGGCTGCTGATTTTCTGGACTGGAGGTAGAGCAGGACCAGGAAAGGGGGGAAAGTAGAGGCACAGACACAAAAATGCAAAAGCTGGGACTAGTGCTTTTCAAACCAGGTTCTTCGGAACCCCAGCCTCCCCAGAAGTAACTTAAGGCTGCTGCATACAAGGTGGGAGTTGGGGGGCAGGGAGACTTCATTCTTCCTTCAAAGCAGCAACACCTTTGCTCTATTATATGTAAGTAAGTCTTCCAAAAGTTTATTTTCAATGAAAGGGTCATGGTAATTTTCCAAGTCACTGCCAAACATAATCACAGTAGCTGACTTTTGTTAGGCATTCCCCCCATACTAAGCCTGTGCAAGGCAGTTCACTGCTTAGTGGTTAAAAGCACTCTACCGCTTACTGGTGATGTGACGTTGGACAGGTTGTTTTACCTCTTTCTCTGTGCCTCACTTTCCCCCTCTATAAAATGGGCATTCTAGTATTATCAACCTCACAGGGTTTTTAATAGGATTGAAGGACTTACTGTATGTGTAGTGCTTTAGAACAGTGCCTGACACATAAGAAGTACAGTCTGTGTTAGATATTACTGTTCTAGACAGTTTCTCAGATCTCTACAAACAATTTTAGGAAAGCATTATTGTGTTTCCCATTTTAAGGATAAGGAAACATCCCTGAGAGGTTAATAACTGTCCCAAGTTGCTTAGCCAGTAAGGATCAGAACCAAAATGTAAGCTCAGATCCAGCTAACTCCAATCCTGTGCACTGGTCACCACATCCCACACGTGTGCGCACACACACACATGCACACAAATATTCGGATATCCTATGCAAATTTTACAACTCTCTCTTAAAGTATAATTCCACAATTTCCTATTTCAAGCACTGCTTTTGTTAAAATACCCAAAATAAATAATAGCCCCAGCAGATGCCGCAGTGAGAAGGCAGGATAGAGTGGCGGACCGCTCAGCCTCTGCCGCTGGACACCAAGGTTCGTTTCCCAGCCTTGCCACTCCAAGATGTGGCCTTTGGGGAGTTGCTAATCTCTCTGAGCTTCAGTTCCCTCATATGTAAAGTGGGGGAAATACACATGAAATAATGTATGAAATCACTCAGCATCAGATATAAAATCAGTGCTCAATTTATTTACTTGATGGTGTTACTATCAATTAAACTTCTGGTTTTATTCCACATTATGCTACTCCCAGGACCCCACATTTGCTGTTTTAATCACACCTTACAGTACGCGTTAGCATATTTCTAGATGTAGAAACTGAGACAGAGTTGCCTGGCTGTCATTAGTCATAAAGTAAGTCTGTGTCGGATCGGTTATGCCAAGGATGCGTTTTTCTGGGAACTTCATGCAGGAAGGACCTCGCAGACGTGCATGAGATCACACTGAGGTTTGGGACAGGGTTCAGAGCTCAGCGCACGATCCCAGGAATCACCCTACAGCTTGGTCCTTGCAGTGCCTGGCAGGGCGCTCCCCTCACGATCCAGAAGCCGGCATCAATGAGACAACAGCTTAGGATCGTATATACCAAGGCAAAGCGGTGCGGGCTGGGGTTTGCCGCCACACACAGAGTCCTTTCTGAAATGTATCAAATACCCTGGCAGGCAGGTCACACAGATGTCAATGTTCTTGCTTACAGAGGAGGAAGTTTAACTATGAAAGGTTGAAAGACTGGCCCAAGGGAACGCAGCCGATTACCCAGAGCAACAGGATGGGACCTGCTCCTTGGGCCTGAGTTCCAGGCCTGTGCTCTGGGACCAGTGGTGCTCAACCTTGCTATACAGCAGAAAAACCTGGCACCTTCATAAAAATGCAAAGATGCCGGGGCCCCACCCCAGCGCAGGAAGTCAGTTTCTAGAGGATTCTTTGGTGCAGATGTGGCTGAACATGCTGCCTTAAATGATGATGCCTCATTGTCATCAGAGCAGTCTACCCCATGGGCATGTCGGCACCTGGAGTCAGCATGACCTGGCACTCCTCCGCCTTGGCCTCAGCTCAGAGCAACACTTTACAGGCAGCTCAGCACTGGCACGAAGAAGATAAGGAAGCTTCCTCTAACTACTTTGACTTAAAAAAAAAAAAAAATCTATAAGTACCTGCTTACCCTAAATTTAAAAAATATCAGGAATAAACTAGAGCTTTATTAGGCTTTTATATATCAGAAACATTTTCTCAAGACATGTTTATATCAGAAAACCTGAAAAACACCGAAAAATATAAAGGAGACTACACAAATCCCCTAAAACCCTAATACCTAAAGATATTTCCTGATTACATTTGGCATAGTTCATTACCAAATAAAATCTTATTTTTATTTCTATGTATATGTGGAATGTCCTTACAATTTTCACTATTTTTATAATACATGTGATACCAGTATGTTCCCTGTTTCTTTTATGTAACATCTACAGATCATTTCTCTTCATGATAAAATATTCTTTAAAGATATGAATTACATAACAATTCAAAATTCTGTCATGGGGCTTTATTATTTCATTTAATTGGCTTCTTTTTGTTAAATATTTAGCTGCCACAAAGAACACCAAGGGTCATGAAAAGAAATGAAGTGGATTTCTGAGTGTACCATGTCTCTAGCCCACTAAAGAACCCAGTGACCTCAGTGTAGACGGTGACTCCAGGAATCCAGACAAACAGAGGGAGAGGGAGGGAGAAATTTCCTAGGCTGGAAGATGCTCCAGATCTCCATTCATTCTTTTCATTCCACTTCCTCACCCACAACCACTCCTGACTCCAAATAAAAATAAAGGGGGAGAAGTCCTTCTTTCTATGTTTTTCTGACAGTAGACAACAGATAATGGAAATCAGTTGAACAACTGTGAGGGGAATAAGAAATATCGAGTAAAATCCCCATAATCAGGCCGGGGCATTTTATCAGTCCAAAGGCCGAGGGGCCACCCAGACCTTAGCCAAGGCCAACCCCGCCACACTGGCAACTGCTTTGTACAAACTTCCTCGTTGTATCAGTTAAGATGCTTTCAGTTATAAGAAATAGGAAATACAGATCAAACTGATATCAGATGATCAAAGAAATCAAAATAATAAAGGAAATGTAGAGTTCTTGTAACTGAGAATGTCCAGAGCTATGACAGCTTCAGGCAAAGTGTGATCAAGGGCTTGGCCCTTTTCTCTGCAATTTCTCAGATCTGCCTCCATATATATATTGATTTCATGTTAGCAAACAGGGCTGCAGCTGCCCCATGCCTCCCAGTTACATACTACAACTTCTAGAGAGAGAGAGTGTCTTCCTGTTTGCTTTCTGATAAAAGAGAGTTCTTTTTTGGAACCACTCAGAAAAGCTCCCGCATCACTAGCTTGAACCGAGTCACTTTCCTGACAGAAGCACTGGCTGGGAGAAGGGCCTACGTGGCCTAACTTGGGCCTGGGTTCCGAACCAGTCACCGTGGCAGGGAAACCAACCTAGCCCAGGCCTAGGAGTGGGATTGGTATTGATTCCTCACACGCAAACCTCAAGGTTTACAGGATGTACAAGAATCAGTCTCATTATCCCTATTTCCATGATTCATTAGGACAATCTAGCATCCCTGTCATGACACAAGGCTAAAAAAATTCTCCCAGAATCATCCAAAGGTACAACTCCACCCAAAGTCTGTCTGACTCTAGGGCCCACGTTCTTTCTACCACAACAGGTCACCCACTCATCCATCTGTCATTTATGGAGCATGCGCCTCGTAGTAGATTTCGGTGTATGCTACTATGTAGTATATGATGTTGAGTTCTCTGAGTATTGGTCAAACAACAGCTCCTCCCCTCCCAATGGCTGTTTTCTCGTGGCTGCCAGACATCATGACTGGGATCCATGATGCGAGATTTCCTAAGCAGAAAAGGAAGTCTTTATATCAGAGGAGGAAAACATCCCATCCGTTGTGTATGGGGAGAGGGGTATTTATTCATTGCTTTGGAAAAACACGGAACTATGACTAATGCTGAAAAATCAATGTGTCCCCTCCTCCTAGCAGCTACATATGAAGCCGCTTCCCCTAACTGCACACAATAAGGTGGAGAGGGAGACATGTTCTGTGGTCACCATTGTCAAGCCTGAAGAAATGAAACATAAGCCCAGCACTCTGGGAGAAACCAGTTGTGTTAAAGAAGCCCAGGGTAGCTGACGTGATTGTCGGAGAGCCCCCATAGCCTTCCCAGAAGTATTTGTACAAAAACAAACAAACAAACAAAACTCGTTAACCTACATAAGCTTTATCCTGGGCCTCAGGCAGTATCTGAGTATACGTTAGGTTGGTATTTCAAGTCCAAATGGCTTCTCTGCAGAAGTTTCGCTTTCTTGAATCTTCGTCTTCCGTTTCAGTGAGTTCACCATGTGTGTTCTAGAACATTCATTAGATCTGATTGTAAAAGGGGAAACTGGAATGCCCATTCCTTCCCCCTTTGAGGGTGTGCTCAGTGATGTAGCGGGAAGATCCCTCTGGCAGCGACGGTTGCAGGGACTCCTTAAGCACTCAACTCCTCTCTGTGCTTTGCAGAAATGAACCGGCATCACTACGCCTTGTACGTGCACAACTGCCGCCTCGTCTTTCTCTTGCGCAAGGACTTCGACCAGGCCGACACCTTCCGCCCTGCTGAGTTCCACTGGAAGCTGGACCAGGTATGGCACTCAGCTCACCCCCCACCCCTCACCCCAGCACCCCCTTTGCAGGGGTGGTAGGTGTGCTTCAGTGATAGTAGCAGTGAGGAGGCACCTCAAAGTTGTGCTCGCTTGCTGAGTTTGGGAAAATCAGCTCGGGGAGACACACAGCATCTTCAAGTCAAGAGAAAAACTGCTGCCGTAAGCCTCACTGGAGGGGGGAGGGCCACACTTCCCCGCTGGGACCCCCCAGCAGGTGCAGGACCTGCACACGTGTATCTTGTCCATTTGCTCCCCGTTGGGCTCCTGGGATGCTGGTCCTCTTGGTTCCCAGGCCCAGTCTGTGATCTCTGTTAGCACATGTTTATACCATAAGCGCCGTACCTCCTTTGTGATGTTCTCTTATCTCCTTCGGGTGATGGTGCAGCCTTGCTTTTGGTGACACGGGTTGAGAACAAGGGACCCGAGGACCTTGAAGTAAACAGTGACATGGCACACTGTGAGCCACGCGCGCTCTTTCCTGAGGTGCAAAACCTGTGACTCACTCCAGAGCCTCCTGCCTGTGAGCACAGGGGCCACTGTGTCATCCTTGTCAATGACAAATGAAGTGTCTGGTTGGAGGGAAAAGCTTTGAAGCGTCTGTCTCCAAGGGCCATGCAGGGCTGAGATTGTGGAGGGGGCGGTCACTCCCTTGGGGGGCTGTGCCATTGAGGAAGGTTCTGGACAGCAAGCCTAGCACTGGCCTTCACTTAGACTTGAACTGGGGGGCAGAGGGGAGGGCACACATGAATTTTTAAAAATGGTTTTAAACTATCAAGGGGGAGAATGCCGGCAGACAGGGAAGGGGACTGTGGAACGGGTCAGCTTAATGAAGCAGATGTGATGATGCTCATTCCGTGGTCTTACTATCTGGCACCCCACCCATATCCCGAGCGCTTCTGGGGACCTCAGGCTTCCTTTCTTCCCCTAAAGCCCACTGTGTGTGCTGCCTGCATCACCTTGTCTAGGGCTGAATGTTCCAGAATCCTTCCCCTTCTCTCTCTTTCTTATGGGCATCTACCCAGGCCCTGGGTATGGCTCGTTTCGGAGAGTGCTACTGGGAAGCATTCCAGAAGGAACTCATTTACATTGAGATGAGAATGATAGCTGCCCCCTTTCAGCCACACAGAAGCACAGACATATGCTTTTTAAAAGATAGATTCGTTAACCTCAGGGAACCTCTCAGTGCTGGAACTGAAGGCAATGTGACAAGGTCAAGGATGCCAAGCTGATAGAAAGATGCTTGAGGAAGCCCAGTGGCAACTGCCTGATCTAGTCCAATAAATCCCATCCTGCTGGAGCCTGGGGTTTTGCAAATATGGCATCTGGATTTAGTATATGTTCCTCTGAATTAGGAATTCTGGGTATTGTAGAAATTATGAAATCTTGACATTGCTTGTTTGATTTCCCAGCAACCTCTCAGCTACCTTCTAAAGTGCCATATGGCTCACATGGGATATATTTAAATACATAATACGAATTGAGATGAATTAAAATAAATTCCATATTGTGGGGGGTTTAATAAGAACATTGCTATACTGGCCAGGATGATGACAGATACCCTGCAGCGTTTTCTAAGATGGGATTGAGAAGTCCTGATACAGGCAAATGAAGTCACAGGGTTGGGAATTAAAAATAGGTGAGGAAGGAATTCTGGTTCTACAGATAAAGATAGAATGACTCGAGGAATTCTGAAGTCTCGGCCCAAAGTGGTGCATTTAAGGAAGGGCTGAGGTTCACCGAACACCTTCCCGGTTCCTCGGATCTCATTCATCAGTGTCTGCTCTGTATCAGCCACACTGCCCCTGAGCTCTCTCTCACCTCTGCCCCCCTGGGCCTGCCCAGTGGATGAAATGAGGCGGGGACCACAGTCTTGTGACCTGCCCAAGGTCACACAGTGAACCATGGCTGGACCTGCCCTATTTCATTGCGCTGTGCTGCTTCTTCAGTAAGCTTGCTAATTTAAAATGTTTTCACTTCTAAATTTTAAATATTTTTAATTTAGAGATCAGAATTGTCATTGAGATGCAAGTGTTTATAGTCTTGATGAAACTCCATGAAACTGTCAGGTCTTCACTTTGCTTACACCTTGTCTTCTTCCTTGTCTCACTCAGCTGGGGCTGCCATAACAAAGTATCACAGCCGGGGGCGGGGGGAGGGGGGAGCTTAGACAACAGACATGGATTTCCCACAGTTCTGGCCTGGGAAGTCCAAGATCAAGGTGCCAAGGTGCTTCACCTCCCCAGGGAGGGCCCTCTTTCGGGTCTGTAGACAGTCTTCGTCTCACATGGCAGACAGAGAGAGAGAGAGAGCGAGCGAGCTCGGACACTGGAATACCTGTTCCTCTTCTTATAAGGCCCTATGGGATTAGGATTCCACCCTTATGACCTCCTTTAACCCTGACCACCTCCTAAAGGCCCTTCTCTAAATACAGTCACACTGGGGGGTAGTGCTGCAATGTATGAATCTGGGGGGAGGGACACAATTCAGTCCATAGCATTCTTTACTAAAAAAAATTAACATTAAAAAAACTTAAGGGCTACTTACTGGTGATCAGAAACCCTAGCCCCTTGGAAAGGAGGCACAGTGGATGAGGTATAGGAAACCTCAACCACACTCATATTAGCAATCCAGTGGTACATATAGACCCAGCCACAGACCTCTCTCTCCCTTATTCAGCTGTGTAGACAGAACCTTCCAGAAGTTTCTTGGATGTAAATCACTTGGTGTTCAGACTATACATACTTGATAGCATCTTCTCCCCCAGGAAGCCACCTTGGGTCACCCCCCCGAGTGGCTTACCTCTCCCCAGTGCTCCCCAGACTCCATACAGAATTCCATCACGATGCTTTCTTTACCCTAGTAACCCATTCATCCCGCCGTTCTGCTCACTTTGCGCTGAGCTCCTGGGAGGTAGTATTGTGTCTTACTCTCTCCAGCTCCTCAGTGCGTATTATAGCTCTGAGCACACAGTTGGTGCCCAGTAAATGTTTGCATAACAGCAAATGGATGTCAAGATCAAAACAAGCGAGCGATACCATGAGGGAGGGAGAGAGGGAAAGAGAAGAGAAAAATCCAGAGACCTTTTAAAACCTCCTGGTGATTAATTGATCTTTTGATTCATTTTATGCAGCATTTGAAAATTCTAAAATTTTACCATTTGGATCTCAAAGGCTGTTTGGCTTTTATCTTGATATTTAATTCCAAAGATTTTACTGTATTTGCCCAGTAGTGACTCTGTAATTATTGCAGAACTTTCTGGCCTGGGCCAGAAAGGACTCAAGCCAGTCTACTGACCCACCTTGGAGCTCCCAGAAGCATAATAAATGTTCTAATGCCTAACAGGGCTTCATCTAGTTCTTTAGTCAGCAGTTTAGGCTGAACACAAACTATGTGCCAGGCTCTGTGCTCGGTACCGGGATCAGCTGCTGAAACAGAAGCCCCTGCTCTCTATAGGTGTCCACGATCATGGGGCAAACACAGAAACAGTTTACATCATTATGTGCTGGGGCAGAAGGCAAGGGGCCAGGTGTGGGGAGTCTGTGGGAGCCCATTCTAGAGACACCTGACATGAACTTGGGAATAAGAGCCTGAAAAAGCCCCTGAGAGGGGACATTGTCTGAACAGAGCACCGAGGGCTCAGTGATGTGGAGCCAGGCAGCCAAGATGGCAGAGGTGGGTAGGACGGCTGGCTTCAGGAGAAGTGTAGTAGACCACAGGGATGGGGCAGAAGGAGATTGCCTTGGCAGGTATTAGGACCCACGTTTAGAGGAGCAGAGTCAATTAAACCCCAAGAGGCTTTTCACATCATGTTATTGAGTTGGTACTTTATCCCCAAAAGAATGGACTATCATCGAAGAATTTTGTTATTCAAGGAGAATTTAAGGATGGGTAAATGTGAATTATGCGAGTATGACATTCATAAAATTTATCAAATTTAAATATAGCTCAGGCCAGTGACCAGGGCTGCATTAGAACCAGGGTCCCCCCTTTCCTTTCTCCACGGCCAGGCCAGGAGCTCAAGCACTCGGCAGAGGCTGCCCGTGCTCACTGAATCCAGGGCATGATAAGCACGGAACTCTTGAGGAGCGTGCCAGGGGAGGGAGGCAGTTGCCACAGAGGAGCTGTGTGCTTCCAGCAGCCCAGCCCCTTTGCCCCACACCTCAGAAAGCTGATGCCAGGGTGGACAGACTGCCAGGTAAGTCCATTATTGGGCCACTCCAGGAAATGTCCCTGACAATCCAGTGCACGTCACTAAAGGGATCCTAATGATGAGGAGAATGTCATTTTAATGGGATTTTTACTTATGATCTGCTAATGCAAATCCCTCGAGCCTGCAGCTAGTCATGTGCAAACCCAGACAGGAGCAGAGAAGAATGCCCAGCTGCCAGCTCACACAGGAAAGGTTTATTAATTTGCAGCCCCTCCCAGCTCTACCATTATTTGGATTTGGTTGACTCATTGTCACAAATTCTAATGATCTTCCCGTTGGACTTCTTGGTGCTTGGAGGGGAACCTGCTGTTGTTTCACAGCATGTTCCACTTACTGGAAGACACAGCTTGAGTGACAGCCTCAATCGACCAGCAAGAGGACAGGTGCCCCCAGCTCATGCAAGGAAAAACAAAATGCATCTCTGAAAAATTGCAATTGAGCACAAGATGCAGGAGTGAGATTCATTCTGCTGGCCATTGCTGTCTCTGTGCCAGAACTTGTAACAGTCACCAGAGAGGACATGGCCCTGCCCAGTTTGTGAACCCTTGAGAGCATTCTCCTGCAGGAGCCTGAACTCTAGTCATGAGGGGTGGGGAGAAAGAGGAAGATGCCTGGCTGGGCGAAGGTGGGTCCTTCCTGAAGACTCAGCCACCACACGGCTCCAGGCCATCTAAGAATCCAGGCCTGGGGCTGCCTTTCCAACTGTCCAGAAGTTGGAATCAGATTTTGATGTAAAGCCTCCCCATGTTTAGTATTTTCTCATTTAAAA